CACAATAAAGCTCCGGATCTGATATTCAATTAATTTATTTAGTTTTCATCTCTTAAAACAACAACACCAACAATGTATAAGTGGTGGTGACGATGTCAGCCATTTTGCACTCTCCCATGACAATCTTGCAGAAACATTCTTGTTACATTTTTTGTTTTATTGAGAGACATCGCAGCATCCCAGAAATATCAGAGAAAAAAGAACATTTACAACTAGAGCAAAAAGCAAAAAACTCCAACAGAAAGGCATTCAACACTTTGATGCACAGAAATAAAATAATAAATTAAAAAATTACATACTGCAGAAATCAGTTGTGTCATATCTGTCCACAGCAGTCTGCTCCTTTCAGTTTGGCACAAGTTTTTTTTCCAAAAGGAAAAGATTACAAAGAAAATGACAAAGTCGTTGAGAGAAGTGTGAGAGAAAGTGACAGTGCATGTCTGCTAACTACCAGTGTGCACAACTGAGATATTAATAATTAATATCAAATTCATAACTCTCCTGAATCTGGAGGTGGTTTTCCATATGCACACCTAAAACTGAATAAGAAAGGATTCACATTGATGAGATACTGGAATAGCAAAACTGATACTGGTCAAGAGAGCTTTGGCGATGCCTTCGTAAATTAGCAAAGGCCAGCCACCACAGTATCTCATGTCATGGGTCAAAAAGGGAAAGTGGCCACTTTAGAGTTTTTTAAAAACGTTTTCCATTCTTTCATTTCATATGTATATATGTATATCTCATTATATATATATATATATATATATATATATATATATATATATATATATATAAGTGGAGCCTTTATGGATAAACAGTAAAGGTATAATAAGAATAGTATATTATTAATCGCACACATAATTAGGCCAAATAATATATTTAATTCAATACATATATAATTATATGGAAAGAATCAATTGAAATGAAATTAGGTGTTTCATTGAGGAAATCAAGTTTCCTTGAATGTTTTTGGCATTAAGGTATGTCCAGTATGGTCAGCACAGTGTACTCTGGGAGGACCCCACAAAAGAAATTCTGCGCTTCTGCTTGAACTGTCCATTTCCTTTTGCCTTCTGAAGATGAATGGATGGAAGAATAGATGCAAGAAGGTTTTATGAATGCACATCCTCACGTGAGGCTGCCTAATGGATGGCTGTTAATTGCCATTTGCCCATAAAACTCTGAATGACCCCAACATCAAAAAAAAAAAATCCTCTATATGCCGTAAAACCCCTACATATTTCTCACAGGGTCCACAGGCCAGGATCTACAACCTGCGCCCACTTACGTCAGTGAGCGTGTCCCCTCACAAGCCTACCTGTTCTTTTTCTGCAACTGTGTTTACTTCTTCTACCTCTCATTTCAGTAACTTCCATCATACACAATGTGCGACACTCTTAAGAATAAAGGTTCCTAAATGGTTCTTGGCTTGGATATACAGTTCTAGGATTGGTGAAGAACCTTAATGTTATGTGGGAGTTCTTTACACTTTAAAGCTGCACTACAAGTGGATGAATCTGAGGATTATTTGTTTATCTGAGGATTGCACATATTAAAAGAGTATTCAAAGAGAACTCAGTCAAAACTTGGTAAAGGATGCATCTTCCAAGGATGTGAGTGAATTATGTATTGTCATCACATCTTCACCAGTATAATGCTGGTGCATTTGAGACCCGAACATCGAGCTGGACCATCTTTTTGAGTCTGTGCGCGTGATGCTAATATGTAAAGACATATGATGTGGTCTGAAAAAACCTCTGTGAAATCCGACCCGACACTTATTATTTCAGGCTTCTACTTGCAGAAGCCCATGCTCACCACATCTTAATGTGTTTTTCCCTCCTGACTCAGTAATGCTACTTCTTAAAAAAAAAAATGGGGGGCTCCCGAGTGGCGCAACCGTCTAAGCGTTGGCCCCATCATCAGGAGATCGCGAGTCCGATCCCTGGTGATGCTACAGCCATCCGTAGCCGGGAGTCCGAGAGAGCACAATTGGCCTCGCTCTCTCTGGGTGGGTGGGGGTGCCCCCCCCAGCGCGATGCTAGTCAGCGCAGGCGTCTGTTAGCTGACGTAACAGATCTGGCGGTTGGCGCTTTCCTCCGAGCGCGTTCGGCTGTCCAGTGACGTTGCGTGAGCGGCAGTTCGAAAAGAAGCGGTGGTTGGCTTCACAGGTCTCGGAGGAAGCCTGTGTTAGCCTTCACCCTCCTAGCGTTGATAGCATCGTGTGATTGGGGGAGTCCTAACTAGCGGGTGGAATTGGAGACGACTAAATTGGGGAGAAAATCGGGTAAAATTAAAATGTAGAGCCGGTTTAAAAACGTTCAAATCCCATTTACAAAACTGGTTCTTTAAAGAACCATTCATTGAAAGCAAACTCCAAAGAACCCTTAGTGGCACCTTTATTTTTAAGAATGTATGATAGTGCAGTTTAAACTATGAGGTGGCACATGACTTTTTCATTCTTTCATGAAAAACAGTTAAAAATACCTAATATTTCTGTATTTAAGCTTCCTTCAAAGACTGTAAAACATTCTCTCCCACTGAACTTTTCCCTTTTTTGAGCTGAGTAAAAACTCCTGAGGATGGTATACTGTTGTTTAGCAGTTCTCAGGCCACGTCCTAGAAGGTCCTACTTTAACAGACCTGGACCTGTATTCATGAAGCTTCTTGGAGTAGGAGTGCTGATCTAGGATCTGTTCCCATCAGTAGGGTCATAATAAATAAGAAAGGAATCTGATCCTAGATCAGCAGCTTTGTGACTACAGCCTATGAACTTTTATCAGATATGCTGCAACATGGAAAATGCTAAACTGCTCAGTGCAGGTGTTCTTCTCCAGGTTTTTGGGCTGAAAGCCACTAATGTGACTGCATAAACCCTCAAAAAAAAAATAAAATAAAATAAAGATTTTGAACTTAAAAGGCATGAAATTAAATATGATCCAAAAACACTATTATGTTTGTTCATATATTAGCAAGGAAACATAGAGTTGCATTTATAAGTCCTCATGGATGACAGCAAGACAGAGAGAGAGAGAGAAAGATGGTGTGTAAAAAGGGAAAAGGTGTACAGTGTAGGGATTTCTGAGGCTTTTTGCCATGTCCACAAATGAATCATTGCTTCGGTTTCCCAGGCTTGGTCTTTACCACTCCTCTCTCTTTGCTCTTTCCATTCATCCATTATATTCCCGTACCTTTCACCCATTTCCCGAACATCCATCCTCCCCTCCTCTCCGGTGCAGGGCTGTGGGCTGTTTGAGGCTGGAGGGGCGGGGCCTCTGATGGATGAAGGGGTTGGAGGGTAAAGCACCATATGGAGGAATTTCACATTTTACTCTTCAGCTTGGTGTCCTTGTTCAAATGTATCTCGACAAATCGTCCAACCTCAAAGCTGCACAGTGCTAGCCAGACCCGCCCGCAAGTTTTTAGTGCAGTGTTTGTGCGGTCCTTTTCGACTGACCCAAGAAGCGATTCCCAGCATCAATGAAACGTTCTTGTGGGTGCATGGAAAGTCTCTGTACAAGCAAAGCTCTACCCAAGGAGCACAAAAGGGGTATCACATGTGCAAAGTTTCTTTTGAGGGACAACTTAGAAAACCAACGTTGACCAGAAAATGAAAATGCAACCTTTCCAATGATAATATAAACACATGTTGAGTATAAACATCTATATAGAGTAAGTGTTGTATAAGTGCACAGTTAGCCTCAATGATCTCCATTTCTGCTTGAAGACCCAGCTAGGGATTGCTGTGAGTAGTACTGCAACATCAAACGCCTTCAAATAACAGCACAGCCTCTAAAATGCACTGCATGTACGTTCGTCACGCTCCGAGTTAGGAAACTCAGAGCTTAGGGCTGTTTTGGCAATTCTGGACCTGCCTTTAACCACCAAGCTGGCATCAGCCAGACCCTTTTAGGAAAACTGACAGTAAATCTGTCATTTCGTTCTAATCAATCACATGACTGCGCAGATGTGACCCAAAAAGAACTGACGTTTCAGTGCTATCCAAACTTGTTTTCCCCCATGATAAACATGACAATTCCAAAGTAAGATCGAGGTCCTTCCAGATGTAGCTGTGGACTTGTGGGCCTGAATTGAGACTAGTGCAGAGTTTAAGACTTTCTGTAACTAAAAAATACTCATTTTTTGGGGTCGGTTGTAGCATGACGCACAAAAACATGTCCCAGGCTAAAGTTTAGAAGCCAACACTGAGATGAATCTTCAGTCAACTTGTTTTCCCTTGAAGCCCAACAGGTGCTCCTAGAGATCCTATCATGACTCATTGTGGTCAGCTTTGTTGTGCTGTGCCGTCATACAGTCTCACTGATGCTCGATTCGTAGGGTCTGGGAGATGGTGAATTACAACTTATCAGTGCTCCACACGTCGGGCCTGAGTAAAATGCAGCATGCAGGGCTTTTCCTCGAGACAAAATGGATAAAACAAAGAAACAAAAACAAACAAACAAAACAAATGCAACAGGATCGATACAAGCAAGAATAAACAACCAGTCATTAAATTATTGGAACCAGAATGCTAAAAATGTCATTTTGCTAGCCAACCTTTCCCCCACTGTTTATCAAAAAGGTTAAATGAATAAAAGTATAAGGAAAGGAAAGAAACTGAGCGACATGAAGCTCTGAGTGGAAAGATCCATGCCAAAATAAACAATCTTAGGGTGTTTAACCTGGGCTTTCCTCACGGTGTGGAGCTATAAACTCTGAGAATTGGTAGTTCAGATCTAATCAAGAGATTAAGATGATAGATTTAATAAATCCACTCCAGGGTGTAGAAGGAATATAGTTTGGGTCGATAAATGTGTCATGTCTGTACCCTGTCTCCATAGAAATCTATTATTTACAAATGAACTACTTCTTTTCTCTTGTACTAGTCTCTTGTTGCTGACCACATGTACAAAGGAGGGAGTTCAAAATCTTCCAGAAAAAAAGACGGTCTTCAAAATTACATCTTGTGCTGTACAAAATTTTTCTCCTTTTTTTTTCATTTTATTTGATTTTTGGCTTTGATTTTTTCTTCATCTGTGTCTCCAGTAGCACCCAAGCACTTATACATATGCATTAATTCATTATAATGTTATTTTCTTAAAGCTAGAAATGAGTATTTTTTTCCCCATTTTAGATAAAATATGTAAATTTGAACATAATACCGCTGTTGCAAGCATAATCATCACCGTAACATTTTCATCATAGTAATAATAATAATAATCATAATAATAATAATAATCATAATAATAATAATAATAATGTGTAAGTTTAATCACTTTCCCAGAGTTGTTGGTTTTTGTAAAGCTGATTTTTTAATCTTGATTTTGAATTCTTTTTAAATGTGTGTGTGTGTATGTCTGTGTGTGTGTACAGAATAGGTTCTCTTCTTGAAGTGTGCTCCAGGCCAGTCCTATAATACAAAGAGCTGAGATAGCAGCTTCCTAACTGAGGTCAGAGACGCAGACCTGAGAGGAGAAGGAGAGAAGGACTGGGGTAGGGGAGATGAAGAAAGGAGAGAATAAAGGAGGAGGAGGTGGCGTCTCTTCAGTGGAACCGCTGCACTCCGAAACGTGGATCCTTTGTGTCACGGATCTCAATCTGCAGAGATATAAAAGAAAGAGAGAAAGAGAGAGGCAATCAACAGGCAGAAAGTATGTATGGACCAAAATGGACTAATTCACCCAGACTGCATCTCAGCAGCCTGTGTCCACATCCATGTCTGTTTTAAAGCAATAGGTAAATTTAAAAAAAATCAAATTTGCACTATTTTCCCCTATATTCCCAATGCAGTCAATTAACTTAGGCATGTTTAGTGTCTGAAGTTTACTTCTTAGGTTTGGAGCTATGAGGCTAATGTAGCAAACAAGTAGACAATAAGAAATTAAGGTCAAGCTGTATGCAGAAAATTGAGGTTGCAAGAAACTAGTCCTGAGAGTCGTTCCCAAAAAGAATCAGTTCCTCAATACCAGGAATTCGGTAATCAAGGATCGACTCTAAAGCTTTGGACTGAATTCCACACAGAGATGTTCGAATTTCCCTGTACCAGTGCACAGGAATGTGAGATGTTCTGCTGTCACTGTATAGACAGTCTGTATGAAAAATGCATCTTTTCACAACTCACATCAATAGTCCAGCTGAATTTGACTTCAGACAAAGTGAAATACAGAGTAAAATGTAATATTTCTGATGAAAAAATGGCTTAAAATCAAACAGTGTTGCCAGTGCAAATACATCTACTGAGCTGAAGGACTTGACAGAGGAGAATCAGGTACAACTTGCCAACCTCAGTTGCTCAGCTAAGTTAATTCAGCCAGTAATAGCTCTCCTGATTTCCTTCCTATGGTGCAAGGTTGCTAGAAAAACAGCTTAGACCAGCATAGCTAGTCACAAGCAACCAGCATATGGCGTGTTTTGGACACAAGTATGCAGGTCAATTAGCATGCCCATGTTAAACCATGACCAGCTAAACCAGCATCACACCAGCAAGGCATTCATGCATTTTTTTCAGCAGGAAATTTAAGTAATATTTAGTCTTTATATTGGCCAGATGTCTTTCTCTACGTCTTGATACTGTGGGAATCAACTCCACCGATTCTCATCACTTAGAATCAGAATCTAAGTTGACTCCAAAATTTCAGCAATTAAAACAGCCCTACGAGAAACAAAAGCAAACTGAGGAAAGGTAGATCTAGGTAGGTAGGACTAGGTCCTATATGCCTATAGGAAGGGCAGGGCTTTCGTCTGCATTAGATGCACTTTCTTGTTTGTAAAGCCAGATATGATGCAATTGCAATATCTGGTACTGTTATATATAAAATATGAACAAAAATATGGACAAAATTCAGGCTTCAAGATGACTTAGCTATAATATAAGCAGCCTACTTTTGTCCATTTTTATGGATAGCAGTATGACATGCAGTACCAGAAACCACATACATACATCTACTTGAGATTGCACAACAACGTGATGCAATTAATCACGCATTTTATGATGACAATGGGAAGGTATATGCTCTCATTACTTGTTAGCTACATTAGCTTTGTAGTTCCAGAGCAAAACTTCAGACACCAAACATGCCTTACATATAAGGTAAGATGAAAATAGTGTAAATTTGTTTTTCTGCTGAGCTATTACTTTAGGCAGAGCAGAAGTGGAGTGAATGTGGATGCAGGTGATTGAAGTCTCCCCTTGGTGCTGATCTAGCCTCAAAAAATCTGTATGTGAAACAGAGCAGCAACACTGACCACTAATCAGCATCAAAGGACCCATTCTACAACATACAGTAATAATGCGACACTTCTGACACCAACAGTAATAAACTGACCACTGTAATGAAGTCTCTGGTCCAAGCACTCCAGAGAAAAGAGATATAGGAAAGAACAGAATGCAACGAGGGAGGTAAAGACAAAAGGATGCTGTTTTGTGTTGATTTGGATTTTTGGGGCACAACCAGGGACAGTACAGAGTTGCGGGGGGAAGAGAAGGGCTAAATATAGATCAGAAAGGACATTCAGGATAAAAGACAACCTCTTGCCATCTATTTTGCTGACCTGCGTTACTAGTTTGACTTGCCCTCAGAGCATATGTATGCTCATTGTATAAAAAAGTAGTTTTTCAAACACTGCACAATACATTCCTTGCCTAAGAGACACAAGCATAAAACTATCCATCACATTTCCTTCTTTACGTGTTTAATTAGAGGCAACTTCAAAAACTGTCTGTATGCATGTGCAAAGCTTGGATTATAGTCAGTCTCTCCTGTGAGCCATTTCACAAAGGAGAATTTTCCAAATGACTTAAAGGATCTGTACATCGGTACTGTACTGATGATCTTCATGCATGGTCATTTTGATGTGTTTTTCTGTATTTAGAAAACTGTATACAGGTGAAACTTGGGCAGTTGCTGAAATCTGTGCATAAATGTTTGAAATACATAACTATATGATGTGACCTACAACCATTACATTCAAACAATAGATATTACAATGAGACACACATGAGAGAAGGTCTTACTAAAACTGTTCTCATTAAGTTTTATCCAGCTTTCAAGACTGAAGCAAAAAAGTAAAAAAGCTGCACTTTCTTTAAGGTTCTCTGGTTCTATGTGGAGCATGTGAAAATTTCACTCACACAACTAACCTACTGCCACACATTCTTCTATCTGGAGAACTACTCCCATCTCTGAAATAACTAATTAATCTCCATGTTAATGTTAATGTTCGAGAACTCAGGCTTTCATTGTATGATGGGTAGATCACGGACACATTGTGTCTGCTATTTGAATGCTTAGCACTAACATTATATCCATAACTATAGCTAGCTAGCTTACTACTAGACCATACTTCTGAAACCAAAGCTCCCGTTTTGAATCAGCATGGTCATATTTGCGTGTCCCATGCTTGTAAAGTACATTTGCAGGAAAATACTGTAACCATCAGTGTTAATCGGTGGAGTTAACTATAAGCAGTTAACTTCTCACAAATTAAGTTAACTGCTTATAGTAGGATCCTGCAACAAGTGGCTAACGCAAATAGGAAGCATTATCTACCTACGCTACATGTTATGTGAGAGAGAGGAATGTGAATAATTGCGTATACATATTCCTAACTGTGAGAAAACGGCAGAAAAAGTCATTTTAAAAATCCCTCAAAAGAAAAGACCAACATTCTCTGCCAGTTAACAGTAAAAACATAACAAAAACTATAGATAACAGTAGAACTTCATGTGCTGGACAGAAAGCCCTACACATTAGATTAACTACTAATATAATTAGAAAGTGACAGCCAATCATGTTTTGATTTCTGATGGGTGGGACCAATTTTTTGAGGGAAAAAACATAATTCTAGTTCATTTGGAAGTCTTAGATATGTCACAGGCTGCGAATATGAGCAGTAGTCCAACCAGGAAGTGCTAGTTCTGTGCCATAGAGTCACAGTAAAACTGTTACGTAAGTAAAGGTAAAATATAAGTTACTGCCTGTTGAAGCTTAAAATAAAATGTATGGGATGTCTTTTACAAGCGTCAAACTAAAGGTCTAGCTATAGTAGTCACGGTTCACCATGGCAGATTTACAGCTGAAGAATTCATGAAAGTGTATAAGAAAATAATGTTTCACATAACATGAACACCTCACCAACGGCTCCTTTTAGAGGTCTACCACTGGACAATCTTCACTTTGTGAAATCACCTCGTGGCCTGTCTCTCTTCAGTGAGGAAGTAGTAGAATTTGTGTTACCGTGTGGAGCTTGTCTACTTGTGTTTTTTAGGCTCAGCAACTTGCCATGCTCCTCAAATCTCCCTCCAGCATCAGATAGCTGCTCTCACATATACAGGCACAAAGAAGCAATCTTTGTGATGCAAAATTTGTACATGCTCTTTGTCTTTCTCACTCTTGCTCTGGCTCTCTCTCTCTCTTCCTCCGTCTCCTGAAATCTGTCTCTCTACCTACACCATATCAAACAAACAGACACAGATGCACAGTCTTGGCTCTTCCATCCTGATAGATATCCAATCTCTGTCTTCCTCCCTCATAAGTGAGTTAGATAAAGTGATATTGAGAGAGATCAATGATCCATCTGAGAAGTGTTATTACTGAACTGCTGTCTTTTCAGGTAAATGCTTTTAAACTCTTAACAGACGCCACATTTCTCAACACATTCCTCCCTCCTTACAGTCCAGTATGCCTTTCACATGCCCTGAGCCTCTCACCCTAGCACCACAATGTACCATCATCTTAAAGCAGTAGTTTGGCAAAAAATCTAATTTGCACAATGTTCTCCTTACTCTAAATGTAGTCAATACAGACATGTTTGGTGCTTCTTTAGTTTGCACTAGAAGTACTAGAAGTTTATACCTCACCAATTATCATTGTGCAAACCCAATGTTCTACATCATCGCACACTTGCCTAAAATGCCCAGTGACTGCTACAAAAGTGGACAAAAGAGCAGATAAAATTCAGGCTTTTAATAATGTATTCAACTATGCACTGTACTTCTGTCTATTTTTATGATAACAGTACATCATACAGTGTCAGAAACCACATAAGCAAATCTGTTTGAGATTACTTAATGCAGTCTAAAGCAAGTGTGTCATGATTTCTGTATGCGGTTATCGGTCAAATATTTGTGATTAGCTTATAGACAATTATAGACATTCATGTTATAAACATCTTGGCTTATTGTCTGCACTTGAAGCGGAAAAACTGGGTAAATGTGATTTTTTGCCAAGCGATCACTTTAAAATACAGATAGAGACAGGCTGTTTTGCTCAATATTAGCTAAAAACAATAGCATTACCTAATCACCACTAATGGTAATGTCAAACATGAGACATCAAAAGTCATGGCTGGACTAACAACTAACATTTTTCCCCAGTGTAAAGTGAAAATCATGTAAATGGGATTTCTGATCAATCTATCATTTATAGAGTAGAATTCTCAGAGGTGATGCACAGTTATATTGAAATTATTTTGGTTAGGCAGATCGAACAGGTGATATTTCAATTTCAAACCAATATTTGATTATGCATTTATTATAACTGGAAGAGCAGAATGTTAGGTGAAGCTGATGTACTGTGTTAAAATGTCTGCATTTCATTGATTTTACTGCACTTGTAGCTCTATATATAAAATTGTTATGATTGGCATGTACATAAAAAAAATGTATTTACACATTGGCCACTTAGTTTATCCCTGGAATTCAGAATGGAAACCATGTATCTCACCCCAGCTTCATGATGATGAACACAATGTGATCGAATACCACAGTGGGTGATGAGGTGAAACACCTCTCTGTTTCCCATCCACTGTTTCAGAAACACACAAACAAGTGGAATATCATTTAAAGCTCTGATGAAAGTTTATTGCCATTTAGTCACACAGGAACCGTTGCATAGGAGGGACCAGCTATTCAGCTCTTTTCTACAGTAGGGTGCTAGGCTATAAATTAAGAATGGCTTATCACCTTTCGTTGTAATTTTACATTCATTTGATTTCACTGCAGATAGCTCCCATGGGGTTCTACTGCAGAAAGAAGAAGAGAAACCCCTATAGGCCTTTCAGACTTGCCTTATGGTTTTTAGTCCAGTCTTTGAGGGCGGCAGCCTGATACAACTCAGTGTTTTTGCTTCCCTAATACACATTATATCTGCTGAATTCAATAAGCTAGAGCAAACAAAACTCTGCAGAGGCAGTGACCCTCAAGGGATGGAGCTGTGCATCCCCGTCCTAGAGCCAAACACTCCATCTCAAGGCCCTTTTGGTGCCATTCCAAGTTCTGTGGTCACTGCCTTTTAACGTGGTCATATTTTTGTTACAGAACGTGAGGATTTGGCATGCATTAGTGTTTGTTTACCCAACTGAGACACACTTAACATTTGCAAAGAATCTTGATGAAACAGATCACTACCTGGAAATAGAACTTTGAATTCTGCAGCTGCCAAAAATAGGTGTTTTATCAAACGCCAAGCATTCTTATTATATCAAAGCATCTCAAATGACACAAATACGCCACAGTTACTGGACCGAGGCCTGACGGAGGTTTACTGTTTGTCTGGCCTGCTAGTTTAATAATAGCAGAAGCACTTCCAGATGACTCATCGAGAAGCACTGGCCAATTTAATGAAAACCGGATTACGTGGACACAAATCAATCCGAGAGGGCCACGGGAGGGCAAGTGGACTGCAGTAACATGGAGGGAGATTATATCAGCAATAATCTGCCATAACACTATTAATGACCTGCTTATGACACCTGTAACTTCACGCGGTTAGATGTCCCACTTGGCCCAGCCGCTCCGCCACACCACCAGACGGTGACCAGCTCCAGCATTTTCTCATTTAAAGACAGAAAAAAGAGTGAAAGGAAAAGAGAAACATACGGTGGAGCGCTGTGATACCACCTGGTCCACCCCTCCCTCTCCGCTCCCCTGCTCCGTGTGTTTATGGAGGCTTTGGGCCAGGTGCCCAGACGCAGTTTCTCTGCTTTGCAGGAGATCGTTATGAGTTGGCTTGAGATGGACAATCTAAAGATATTAATTACCCGAGTCTGGCTAAGTGTGGCGGACAACTTGACTGTCCTTACCTGGTTTCATTAAATAAGCATTCCAGCAAAAAAACTGAGCAATATTATCTTTGGTTACTGACGAGAGTTTTGAAAAGTTTAGCAAACATTATTTAGTTAGCAAAGTCTTAGCACTGGTTCAAGATGTGGACATGAAAGCCAGCTCACCTAAGGATCTTCCAGACAAGATATTTTACCTACAGCACATTCTGTAAGATTTGTAACATAAGGGTAGGATGGTGTGAACTTTGGGTTCTTATTTTTCCCCATGTACTTTAACAGAGATCTAAATTACTTGTGGTGTTAGCGCTAATTTAAAAAAAGTGTCACAGAAAAGCTGAAGCTTTGAACACAAAAATAGCAACAACTGCATCCATCAGTGTGTCTTTATTCTGACTTACTCCTGTCTACTTCCCTACCACAAACCATAAGTCATATAAATACCACTTTACTGCAAGGTCATTTTATTGCTAGCTAACTTATATTTTGATGTAACACAGCAATATAAAGTCAGCATGGAATGTACATATGAAAAGCTGTAGGTACAACCACAGAAGTAAAGAAAACTCTTTAAAATGGTTAATGTACTGGTCACCTGAGGATAAGGTATTATTGTGTTTCACAGCCAAGACATTTTGCGCTGTTGTAGCCATTTTACAGAAACACCTCACTGACTAGAATTCACTTTCTTATCCCAAACTGCTTCACTACATGACTCTCACTTTATTGCAAGCTCATTTTCCCACAAACGAAGAACCTTGAAAATGTTGCCTAAATAACTTTACTGTCTTCATAGAGAGAAATGAACTACTGAAGTACTGAATTGGAGTTGAATGCTCTTTTGAATTTCATCCTGAATGTAGACAATGAGAGGGTAGTTACTGAATACTGTTAGCCTACAGCACCAATTGTACACCTTCTTTTCAGAACCACTCCAATAACAGCTGATCCACATATGTGTAATCCCAGCTCCAATATATCTAAGCTAATTAAAAATTCTTAATTATATCGAGCCTTGCTGTTGATGGCATATCACGCTAAGTTCATAACGGTAAATTGCTTCCTCTGAAATACAAGGTGAGGGGGGAATTAGGGAGAGGCACATTTGAAGGGAAATCACGCATTAGGAGAAACGGCTGAGGGAAAATTAAAGCAACACTCTTTCAGCAGCAACCAACCAGACGAGAACATTCAATCTTTGACTAAAGCAGATTCAAGCCGCATGCTAGGACTGCATGCATACATCTAAAGAAGGCAAATCGATTGATAAATCGATCGATTAGTTTGGTTGTTTGATCTTACACCATCCAGTCGGAGTGTAGAGGCCAGATGCAGCGGCTGCTGGGAAGGAAACATAACCATTAATCATACTAGTAAGAGGAGTATACCCTATATGTAACACATGGCATGCATAGGGACGGACCCTATGATGAAAAGTGTATGCATACAGTCAGATCCAAAATTATTGGCACAAATGGTAAAGATGGACAAAAAGGTATTGAAAATGTCTTTATGGTTAATTACCTCAGTCTCACACTGAAAATGTCAGAGTAAATTTGATCTAAAAAAACTGGCAGCCTTACAAATTCTTATGAACAAAATATAACCGAAGCATGTTCCCATTTATATTTCACTTCAAGTCCACCTGAGTGTTTATGTACTTTCAAGCTATCATCCATGACTTCCTGTTTCACTGTGGTATAAATATGAGGTGACACAGAAACCTAATTCCTTTTGTCATTCATCAACATGTGGAAGATTACAGAACTAATAAAACCAGAAAAATGTGTGTTGTCCTTAAATTCAGTGGCTTTAAAAAATAAAGCCAAATATCTGAAAATGCCCATACAGTTAGGGCAATAAGTAAGAAGGTTAAATCAAATTGAACTGTAAAAATGTGCCTGAATGAGGACGCATGTTTATTTTGTCCCCATGCTCAGTGCGGAGGATGGTTAGAAAGGCAATAGTTTCTCCAAGGACTACGGTTTGCGATTTGGATAAGATGGCAGCATTTTAGGGTCACTAAGTCTCCAAAACTACAATCAGATGCCATCTCCATGCAGGACTATCATCTGATGCTAGAGGAACTTTAACTAGAATTGGGTTCTGTGGTCAGATAATACAAAAATAGAGCTTTTTGGCAACGAAAACTGAAGGTGGGTTTTGTCATAAAAACAAGTATAGTAATACCAAAAAGATCTGTGTTGTTGTTTTGGGGCTATTTTTCCTCCAAAGGCCCTGAGAACTTTGTCAGGATATATTCTATCTTGGACTTGTGGACTTGTAGTACTGGAAGATGAAAATCTGGCTGCCTCTGCCAAAAAGCTAAAACTCGGTTCTGCATGGACATTCCAGTAGGACAATGATCCAAAACATACGTCCAAATCCACACAAAAATGGTTCAACCACAGAGTCAAGCTTGACGTGGCTGTCCCAGTCCCCTGACCAAATTACCATGTGGTGAACTGAAGAGGAGGGTACAAAAGAGAGGATCTATGATCCGAAAAGATCTGGAGAGATTCTGTACTGAAGAGTGGTCTCAGATTAATTGCTTTGTATCTCATCAAGCATTATAGTACTCATTGCTGTTATGGTAAAGGGAGGTAGCACAAAGTATTAAATGCAGGATGCCAACAATTATGACATGTAGTTCTGTTTAAAAAATGAAGGGTTTTTGTTTTCTTGGATTAAATTTACTTCAAAGAAAGGTGAGTTTACAAACACGTTTTTAAGACCATTTCCCTGTTCTTTACCAAAGGTGGCAATAATTATGGAGCTGGCTGTATCTTCACAATGTGATAATAATAAACTTTGTTCTTCAGTATTGTATAAATGTGTAAACTAGGCCAGCAATAGCAAATGGCACCCATTGTTATGTGTTGCACCACATTCTTTCTATTTCATAAATATAAAAAGTACCAAAAGGCTAGGCTATGACTCTGGAGGCATCCATCAATTCACTCTTGCTTGTTCTGAACAAGGAGTAGCATTGCCTGCTTTGTTTCAAAGAAACAAGTAACGTTCTCGCCCACTGCAACTTAAATCTGTCCTATTTTAATACAATACAAATCGCTGGACATATTTTTTTTTTTTTTGCCTCCATGCGCATCAGCGAAGCTTTTAAGCATGCATTTTTCATGCAGTCTGTTGCCTGCTATTCACGTCACATTTCTTTTGTTTGTGCATTTTACGTGTTTGTCATCTAGTAATTAAGCTGGAGGTCTCCCTCCCCACTCCCATTTCTGTCCTTTCTGCTTTTACAGACGCGAGCGGAAGTGCATGCGTGCGCGCCCGCCTGCGGGGCTGCTGAGAACGTGTCGCGGCTCAACCAAACGTGTTCTCTGACCTGACGTGTGCGCCCTGGCCTAGACATTTGCATTTTTGAAAGGGAGGGGGGTGCTCGAGGGTCTTCAGCACAGTGCGCAATTCTGCCTGAGCTGCGTAAAAGCCTCCAGCGTATACTCCAACCGCTCCAGAGCGCTGACGCTGCTGCTGTGCCTTTGCTCTTTTGAGCCAGCAGCATCTCTAAAAGGCATTGTCCGGATGGGCTAATAGCTTTGTATTCGCTTTGACACTGGGGTTCAGGTTCAAGCTTAGGTTTAGGAGAGCTAATATACATGGGGGGAGGGCGTGAGCGAGCTCAGTGTTAACCCACTTGGACAACATGAGTGTACATACTGTCAGGATACTACAGCACCACAACACTGACGTTCTGGAGCACAAAACCACCGCACACAGCAACACACAAGCACGGAAGCCACAGCAGCAGGGAGAGAGAGAGAGACTTACCCTGGATACTCCAAAGTCTGTAAAGACAGAATAGAAGGTGGTGTTTAGTTGGGGCTGCATTTGGAGCGAGGGCTGTGCATCAAATATTAGGGGTGTAAAGCTCTGACCTCTCAACGATTTGACAACAATCTTTTAGTAAACGATTCAGTGCATGATGGAATCTGAAATCCAATAATTTGAAATGAATATTTTTGGTACAATAAACTTTTTACATTTGATTTTTTGTGGACCAAAATAATGATCCCATTTCTGGGATATATTAATGTAACTGGTTATAACTGATTATAACATTCTAAAATCAATGCAGTTGAATCGCTACCTTCAGATTAATGCATCAATGCATGTTTACACCCTTGTCAAATACACATTTGCAAACAGTTGCCATCAATGTGTAAAAATGTGTGTAATCAAGATGTTGTAATCCTTGTTAACGCTGTTTGGGTGGTTTAGAGTTGAAGAACATATTTCAAATCGAGCCATTTCATTGAGATTTTAGGGACATTAGTTTGTCTTTTGCTTTGGTAGTAAAGAAAAAAGATGATATCCTTGGAAAGGCACTACATGCAGTGCAGTCTATTGCTTCCATTCATAAATCAGATGGCTTAAGTCCAAGCGGTGGGAGTCTATACCATCCTCGTTTCCCAATTCCAATCGGATTTACAGAGCCAGCGGAGCGCCATCCAAACCCCAGAGTGGGATTGGGAATCAGCAGGAGGCTTGGAGTGTGGGAGGCCGGAGAAAGAGTGGGCCGAATTTGGAACCTCCTCAAAAAATGTGGAAATGTGCCTATCCTCTAACTCAGTCAGCAAAACTAAGAAATAGGTCTACATATTCTTCGAAAATCAGCCTTTTTCGAATTAAAACGTCAATTATTTACATATCTGAACCACAGGAAAATTGAACTGTGCAGTGGATAAGCAAACGTTGCTTTTGACAAATCAACTTGGTGGACAGTGTAGAAGCATTTCTGTTCTGCCCTTCCTGTCCAGTTGTACGGTGGGATCACTGAGAGATCACGTCCGGCAGCCCCAGGATTCCCTCCAGGCACCATAAACTGTAACAAGGACAGGAAAGCGGCTCCTTTCTCATTAGCATGATGCTAATGGCCCCAGCTCGCTCTCTGTAACGCTAACGGGACGTGACTCGGCTTAGCATTTAACATGGTGATGGAGTAGGGTGTGTGCATGCGCTGAGAAGGAAGGCTGGGGGGTTGGGGGTAACCATCTGAAACATAGCAGCAGTGATGCTGCACTCAGGAAGGGAGAATTGATGAATTATGAAGGGCTTTTTGGAGGGAGAGAAAACGGTGAGGTTACAGCAGAGTGGATTAAAGTGAGAGAGAACAAATAGAAGCTGGGGGTGGCTTGGCAACCTGCCACCAGGTTTTTATTGATGCTGCAACACCGATTCCCTGGCTATTACAGATGCCGCGCACATAGAAACGGCATACACAAAAAGCACCCTGCCTGCGTTCCCCCCCTCCTGCTTTCCTTCTCTCCACTTACCCACCAATCCCCCCCTCCATCTTAAAAAAACCCTCTGATGAAATAGAATTAGCAGCTAGCGAGGGGGGGTGATGATGTGTGTATGTGTGTCTGTGAGAAAGAGAAGGCACAGCTGCAGAGTGCCGAGTCGCTGGGGAGAGAGCAGCAGCCCTTCTTATCCTGCCGGAATCTGACACGTAACCATGGCAACTTCCTCAATAGAATCAGAAGGCTATGAAGGAATTGGGTGGTGATTTTTTTCTTCTTCTCCTCTTTTTCTTTCTTTCCGTCTTTCTTTAGGCAGCTTGACACATTACTAGCTCACTCCTTTTCCTTCACTTATTCTCTCCATTCTGCTTCTTTTTTGACCCCCCCACCACGTTGTAGTGCATTTTATCAAGATGGTAACAACGCTCATCATAAATGATTTACTAGTGTTCAAGCGAACACATCCTTCTCTTAAAGCCTTCTAGTGCAGCACAATCTCGCCTCTCACACTGAAAAGGCGTCTGAATTACTGCCGCATGGTGATCGAAAAGCTAGCGGGATGATGAAATCTGCTTGTCACTACAATAGCAGCACGGAGCAGTCTACCACAGAAGTCTTGCTCAAGAGAGGAGATGAAATATTTATGAACATGTGCCCTCTTATGCTTTCATGAGAGAGCTAAACCCCCCCACCCCACTTCAGCCCACGTCCTCCACACCAGCCTCGAACATGAACATCAGTCGGCTGAGAGGAGTAAATAAGACAAGATGGAGGCGCTACTGAACAAGCCCCATCATCTAACTGAAACCCACATTAGTGCAGCAGCCATTTTGTCTGCAATGGAAGGGGTTTCCCTTCTCCTTTAGAGAGTAAAGAGCCTTTTAGCGCTCTGAAGGATGATTTCCTGGATCTGGAAGACCTTCTGCCAGATATTAAAGACGTCTGTTACTTCAGGGCTTATGTTGAGACAGCTTTGGTTGTTTTTATCCTTTTCAGACAATCGTGTTAAATGTGGCTATGCCTTAACGATCAAGTGAATCTTATGCTAATCGATTCCAGAAGCATACCTATGTTCAGAGGATCTTATGTTCCCAGCATCCTATGTCCCCAGGGTCTTGTTTTCCCAAGGTGTTTCTAGGGTCTTATGTCGCCAGCACCCTATGTGCCCAGGGTACCATGTTCCTAGGGTTCTATGTTCCCACAGTACTATGTTCTCAGAGTCCTGTACTTCCATGGTCCTGTGTTCCCAGGGTCATATATTCCTAGCATGCTAGGATCCCGGCATCCTATGTTCAGGATTTTAAGTTCCTAGCATTTTATGTTTCTAGTGTCCTATGTTCCTAATGTCCTATGTTTCCAGGGTCCTATGTTCTCAGGGCTCTATTGGCACAGGGTTCTGTGCTTCCTCAGATCTTTATATGATACATTATACTTCAGTATGAAAGGGTTTCTGAGGTTATTGTTAAGGTCATGTTTCCTAGAAAATTTAAGTGAAGAAACATTGGGCACTTGCAATATAGTGCCCTGGAAACATTGGGCTGTTTACAAAACTACAAAGAGGGAACACAGGGCCTGGGAAACATAGCGCTCTGGAAACATACAGCTGTTTCTAAGACACTTCAATGAGAACATAAGACCCTGGGAAAATAGGGCTTTGGAAACATAGGGATGACCCATATTTTCCTACATTCACTCTCAGCAGCTACCATGTGCTGTTTACTGGACTATTTAGGCTGCATGTTAGCATGGGCCATCTAGTAGAAGGTTATCTCTCCACTGACCAAATAAGAATCAGAAGGTTCCCAGTTCAAATCCAGTTTAGATTAGAGAATGTTGGCTTAGTACCTGAGGGCTTCAGGTTCTAATGTTTCTGTCTTGGATTTTGATGCTTTAACCCCAGGTTTCTTTTAGGAAACACATGCATGATATTTTTCTTTGTTTTACAAAGAAATTGCTGAATATTTTCTTCCTGATTAAAAAAAGTTTAAAAAGTTCTCTTGTTTCCTGTTTTGCACTATTATTAAAGTTACTCTTTTTCTTAAGTGAATAACCCTAAGTAGCCTACGATATGCTGTACCAAGACCAAGTAAACAAACGCTCCAACTCTTCCAATGGCACCTGCACTGCAGTGCAAATTTCCCTGCTATGTTTTAAGACACCGTCTTTGTTGTCAGTCCAACTTGTTAGTCATGGGATTTGTCTGAACATTGAAATCTAGGGGCAATTAGGCACATTCACTATTTTGTTGTTCAGAGTGCTTTTGGGACATACTACCTTTTTTCAAATACAGATCCCTGGATATGAAAACATAACCTATTCTATTTAATAACTGTGTCCTTTCTTTGTTCTCTTTATAGAGCTGGATTGTAGTTGCCTTAAATATGTCAAACATAATTACTTCCTCTATAGCCTCAAGTCACTTTTCTGTTATACTTCTGTGACTGTTGCCATTGTTCTTCTGAACCTGCCAAGCCTTATCACCATCTTCACAATGCTGCATATAGGTCACAGCATCAGGTCATTTCTGGTAGCCACCTCTCACCTTTATTGTCAGCCTTGACTTCATCTTGCAGGAAGTCGCTCTGGCGATTTCCAAGGACGAAGGCAAGGAAGGAGAGGATGAGGGCATCCAGGATGCCGATGATGGCCAAGATGTAGGCCCAGCGCACTGAGCAGTTCCCCAGCGTGTACTTCCCTGTCTCCTCTCCACACATGTCCCGAATCACCTCTGCATCCCAGCCATCCGGGAAAATCATACAGCCCAACACCAGACACACAGCTACAGAGAGAAAGAATGAGAAAATGTTTTTAAAAGAGGCAAAAAATAAAAGTATATATATAAATATATATCGCTGCCTTCGAGACAAAACAAAACCTCGTATCTCCATTTTTGTTGTTTTGTACTTCTACAGAATTTGAAAATACCAGCTGACCTTTACAATGTGCCAGAATATCAGAAGTGCTTGGAAAAAAATTTGTTCCATTAACTTCCATATAAAATGTTTTTTCCTTCTCCTGTAAACTTAACATTTTGGAGATACAAGATTTTGTTCCAACACCAGCAATATATTTACATTATATTATACATTTCATCTTGTATGTTGCAGTTTAGTTACACATTAAATTCCCCCAACATAGAGCTGCTGCCATTTCCCGTTTCTAACAACTGACAAATCTGGTAAGGCTACTGCTCAAATTTACACTCAGTGATGAATCTAAGACTTCCAGAAGGCCCAGAGTGTGTTTTTATCTCACAACATTGGTCCTAACCATGGTAAAACAAAACGTGACGTTGTTGACTCCTCTGCCAGTTCCTATTTAAATTGGTAATCCTCTAGCATGTGACGCATACTTTTGATGCAACACAAATTTGTCAAGTTGTGACATTAACACTGTTTTCATCTTGGCAGAGAAAAAACAATGTAATCAAATAACAATGTACATATATAATGAGTGGTAAACGCATAATTAATGCACATTGATTTCTGCTATATACAGTCCACTGCATATCATTTAATAAAGTTTTATTGTACCTAAAATACTTTAAATATTATAGAAACATCTAAAAATACTCTTTGCTGTATAATTATTATTAAATTTATGTCGTGTAAGTTATTTTTTGTATATAAAATAACAAAAAAAATACAATAAGGAACAAATTGAAGCAGGGAATGAAATGTTAATGTTACATCTGCTTCTTGACAGCCAGGAACCTCAACGTTAATCATCCCTTCCCCCCACCCTCCCACCCCCAACTTTCACTATAATAATTCTGACTAACTGCGGTAACAGCACTATTTATCACTTCAGTTTGAATTAGCAGGCTAAGCTGGTTTAGGCTAAATGGTAGTTCAGCATGCAATGAAATCACACCCATAATGTAATTTCCATACATGGACCATATGGGCTGGGAAGTGAATGGAATATTTTGAAATTTTAGAAATGTTTACATAGTACATCAAACATTTTGCTGAAAAAAAAAATAGAATTTAGAAGAAAAATGAAAAATTATCTGTAATATGCCACCAAAAGGGTCTAAAAGTATCAAATAATATAACAAAAGGTTCTGTACGCAATAATATGATAACAAAAGGTTCTGTACGGCTGTTTATAGAGAGAGGACACAAAACAGCATGTCTGTAGAGAAAACATATTGCTGACGGGGTCCTCAGTGCGGCAGAGAACAGTGCGGGGTAAAGGACTGACATAGCAGCAGCTCCACCCCTAAAGCACAGGCCCACAGCCTGCAACAATGAGCGTGAACCCTTCACTTACACACACACACACACACACATCAAATATCCCCCAATCAGCCAAACTACTCCTTCCATCCGTGCTGCACCTGCATCCTTTTCAAATGTGCAGCACCGTTTTTCACTGGATCTGCAAAAAGAGTCCTCAAAGCTCAGTGCATCATGTTTGGGAAAGCTATACTGCTTATTTATTAACAAGTAAAGGTCACTTTATGGTTCCACTAGATGCTATGTGTTCATCTTTGCAAAAAAAATTACTTTTTAATGAGCTGTTGTATAAAGAGACTAAAAAGGTTTGATGCTGCATGTGTTTTGGACTGAGATTCATTATGGATATAGTCACCAAATCTGCTGTCATTTCCAGTTGCAGATTGTATGTAGGATAAAGTATGAACATATAAACTGCTTTTTGGCAGTGTCTATTTAATTAAATTAAATGCATTTGAATTCACTTTGTTAAAGAATCACAATTTTGTGTAGAATGTAGCATGCATTTGTAGTATGTGTTATGCATTGTTGTGTGGTATATATTATGCATTTGTAATGTAGTATGCATCTCTAGCAGACGTCTTCAACTCTGGACCTTTAATATAGTTTCCGGTCCTGGATTTTCTAATCACTGGTAGTTAAATGAACGGAAATGTGTATGAACTGTATGAAAATGTAAATGTAATTTAATCTGTAGTATGTAGTGTGTATTGTTCTGTAGTATTTCCAATCTCTCGCGCAACGGTTCTCCACCGGTATGCAGTAACAGTTACAGTTCACTGGTAAAACCATCAACATCACCAAAACAACCGAGGTTCACCAGCGAGGCTAAAGTCAGCTCTTATTCGCCGGCTTCTTGTTCGAATTTTCCTGTTCCATCTTAAATGGTGCAGCAGTTACATTCTGGCGCCATTTAAGGTGGAACGGGAAAATTCGAACAAACTGGCGAATAAGAAGCTTCAGCGTTGTAGTCGATGACAAGCCAACTTATAAATTAATCTATTGTTTGATCCATTGGAAATAAATAATTGGGTGTGCCTGTGAAAAAGTCGGTAGGCTAATGTTAAGTTAGCGTTACCTCGGTAGACACAATTTCCAAACGCGTGGACCCAAAAAAGACGACATGACTGAGATAAAAAACATCGTTTATTCTTGTCTTACCTTTGCTTTGACATTTTCATAAAGCCCATTCCAGCCTTTGTAGTAAAAGAACATTGTAAGTTACAAAATGAAAACGACTTATTCTACGGGACGTTGAACCGTCCTCAGTTACATTTTCTGACCGAAACCGGAGCTTCCAATTTAAACACTGGCGCGCGATAACGGACTGAGCTTGACATAATGGCGGACAGCAACGGTCGCTGTGCAGTGATTGGAGGGTTGAGAAGAGAAGGCGGGGTTTGGCAGAGAGCGTAATAACATGATTGGCCATAATTCAGTGACAGCAATAAAATGTTATGATTCTAAAAAGTTGGCTTAATAAATGTTCTTCTCCCATATGATTGGGTAGGCCAGTTATCAATCTGGGAAACACATAAATCTCATTAAAAAGGCCATCTGGGGCCCCGAATTACTGCGTATAGATCTTTAGTATGTAGTATGCACTAGTGTGTAGCATGCATTGTTGTGTAGTGCGTAGTATGCATTTGTTGTGTGCGGCATGCACTGTTGTGTAATACCTGTAGTATGTAGCATGTGTTATTATATATACACATATGTCCGGTTTTGCGAAAACTGTTATAATGACCTGTGGTATTAAGAGACCATAATGGTGCAAACCCCAAATTACATCTGACCAAGAAAAAAGTGGACATTGTTATTTCTGCCCTTTTGTGGAGGAAATCAGGAGGGACAGCCTGTGTGTTTTGCTGCCCCGTCAAATAAATTCAGGGGAGGATCTTTGTTTTTGAGATGCTGAAACATGGAGCCTAGAGAGAGTGCACCACTGCTGATTAGTTATGGAGAATAAGAGAGAGAGAGAGAGATTTGATCTTAAACAAACTTCCATCATGAAACTCTCAAGGCGGCGACAACAGCTCAAGGGTTTTAAAGCAAAACATACCCCCTTTTTCCCAGTTCACATAAACCAACACCGTGCAATTTTGTGCAATTTTAAAACTCATCTGAATCTTTAATTAATGAGCATACAGTTATATACAAGCCTTAGCTTCTGTGTGCTGATAATGTTTATTATCTGATAATGTTTATTATGACTTTACAAAAATGAAAGGAATCACATAACAGGTTAACAGTTTAGGAAGCGGAAGGTGGAGAAAAAGAGTAGAACACAAATAAATTCCATTTGAACAAAATATACTCAAAAATATACTTACTTTTTTTCAATAATGGTGTTAATATATTGTTTTCATATAGAAATTACATATACTTTTAAAAGAAGATGGCTCTTCAAGAGTTCTTTAAATAAGAAAATGGTTCTATATAGAACCAAAAACATTCAAAGGTTTAATCATTTGCATGAGTAAAGGGTTCTGCAGCATGCACATGAAAAGGATCTTCAGATTGATGGAGGATGTGTTGTGTATGGTTCTGAATAGAACCTTTTTAAACTGATTTGAATATGGTTTTATATAGCACCAAAAAATATTCTTTCATTGTTACAAGCTTGACATTGTAACAATAGAATTACCTTTTTTGGTGCTATATAGAACCTTCTAAGGCACATTCTCCATCAATCTGAATAACCATTTCATGATGCAAAGAACCCTTAATCATGCAAAGGGTTTTTTGAGTGTTCATGGTTCTATATAGAACCATTTTCTTTACTAGAGAACCCTTGAGGAACCATATTTTTAAAGTGTGGAACAGAATATAATGGAATAGAATAGATTGTAGTAGAATAGAATAGAATAGAATAGAATAGCTTATTGTCTAACCAAGCATGGAATTTCATTTTGCCCTCAGAAACAGCAACTAAACTCTTGCAGAACAAGCAGAGCAAACATTACAATCACATAGAAGTTAATGAGTTAAAAAACGTATATATGTCTGTCCTTTGGGCATGTGTCTTTCCACAGATAAAAAAAAGACAGTAGACCATTGCGCACACACAGGCTCAATTACAGCCTCAATTAGAGACTAACACAATATCACTCATATACACACACACACACACAAAAACACACACACACACACACACACACACACACACGCACGCACACACAAACACATACATCACCTGAGCACATGAAATAATTAACTTTCATAAGCACATGCAGAATTAGACCCATGATGCCAAAGAGAATTCTTATTTCTCATTAGGACACAGACACACATCCTACTAGCACCAAACCCAATCAGTCAGTGATCCCTAATCATTTGGCACTTAACACACAAGACTAAGTAGCGCACCATTGTGAGACTGAAACGGCTGCATGTGAGCGTGTTTTCTCTTCTAATTACCATTTCAATCATTTCAAGTGAGAGTGGATTTAAAAAAAAAAGTCTTAGGAAACCTCGCAGTGGTTGCTATGACGCAAAGCTGAAGCTGGTGCCACCACACACTACTCCTACCCATAAG